GCAGCCTTCACCGTAAATACGAAAAAAAATAATGGCATAAATTGAATTGGGACCTAAATTAACCAGGGTCTTAAATATGATTCGTCGTTAGTAGAACCATCGTTATCGGAGGCTTTCCTGTAGTTCACAAAACCGAGCACGATTCCGCTAAATTTCCGCTAAATCGAATTTCCGTTATTTTCAGGTGATTCTGTTAAATTCCACGCCAAATGCACCGCTTGGCACATGGGGTTTGTTTAAATCTGCTCAGTCTGTGTTTTGCCGCCACCACGTGTGCTGTTCACTGCCACCCTCTCAGTCAACTATCTACTGTGTCACACAAAGAGGCTAACTACAGTAAGCATACTGGGAGAAAAAAAAAGGAATTAATTTGGCATATTTTCATTATACAGTGTGTATCAGGGCTGGATTCAGGAGTGGGCAAAGTGGGCAGCTGTCCAGGGGCCTCCACATATTACAATATTTTATTTATTTGTTTATTCATTTGGATTATTTTTATTTTCATTCTTTAAAATTCATGTTTATCTATTCCATCACGTAAAACTATGTTCAGCATGAAGCGTGATAGAAATTAGGCTAGCTACTCCTTGAAATTCATGAATACCTGGTTATATACAGTTAATTAAAAATTTCTCAATGTTCTAATTTCCTCAATATAACTGCATATGGCTTCAAAATTCTCCAAAGAAGTGTTCAAATTTCAAAATTTTCCCGGGGGGCTTACAGCGCCCCCCGGAACTCCCTGATGTTTAGGCTCGCTTCACTCCTTCACTCGCCACCCCACCCTCTTGGGTAGTTATAATGAGGGGGGCCTCCCCAAAGAGGCTGCCCATGGGCCTCCACAGGTCTAAATCCGGCATTGGTGTGTATATAACCGTGGTCCCTCGGTTAACGAACACAATTCGTTCCACAGAGTCGTTCGTTAACCGCATCTATTATTTAAATGGGATATTGGGTAATTCCAACTCACAGAAAAAGTACATACAAAGTACTGTATACCAGTAATAGAATTAACAAAACATTAAATATAAACTAAGTACAGTACTGTACTGTACAGTACTGTACAATAATAAATAAAAAACAATAGAATACTGTATTTTAACTTACTTTGAGGTGTGTATGTCGTATTACCGGCAGCTTTGTTTACATACCAAACAGCTGATTGTACAGTAGAGGCAGTCGATGATGACATGCCATATTCTTTACTGAGTGCATTGGTTCTAATTCCTTCTTCATGTTTCATAATAATTTCTGCACTGTGTATTATCAATATGTTAACTAAATTTCAGAATGAACAAAAATTTTAATGTAAAAATGCAAAAATATTCAAGAGACCAACAAAATCGATGGTCACTCCACTGTAAATAAAGTTAAACTGAGAAGCGTTGTTGGGTGTTTCAATCAGCTGATGAGCGCACAAAAACGGTTCCCTGTACTGTCTATATTATCAATATGTTAACTAAATTTCAGAATGACCAATAATTTTAATATACAAAATGCAGAAATAATCAAGAGACCAACTTTCTTGATATTTACTTCACTGGAAACGAACGTAAACAGAGAACCAATTACTGTATTGGCGGACTAGCCATTCATGTGATGCGCACAACAAAACGTGTTTGTTGTAAGGATTTCGTTAATCGAACTGAAAATCCTTATGGGAGCTAATTCGTTAATCGAACCGTTCGTTAACCGAGGGACCACACTATGTATGTATATATATATATATATATATATATATATATATATATATATACACAGTTGGTCCTCATATTACGCGGTCCCGCATTCCGCGTTTCACCGTTAACGCGGTGCCTTGCCAGAACCTAACATTTTCACATTCCGCGGTCGTGAACCCCATTACGCGGAGAGCGGCTGGCAAGCCGCGCCATTTTTGGATCCAAACCTCCCGCCATCCGCCATGTTGTGTAAGAGGCGCGAAAATGGTGCACACAAGGTCGCCCAGTCATCAAAACATGACCAGTTCTTCACCCGCCACCCACTACAGCCGGCCCAAGTCAGTGATAGTGATAATTATAGTGAGGATATGGACTTATATGAACTTTGGGGGGTTTGACAAAGAGGCCCTGCAAGCCTCTGTGGTGGATAGTGATACAATTGATACAAGTGATACAGGTGAGGGCCAATAATCTGCCCTCTGCCTCGGAACCAACCGCCCATCCCCGTGTGCCCAGCCATCTTTTCTACTAATGTAAGTGTTAAAAAACCTAATATTATTGATATTTCTCTTAATTATTAATTGTGTGTGCATGCCATCATAAAGTTAAGATAATATTTTTACTACAACATAGTTGTGTGTCGTCAAAAAGTGGAGTTTGGGGATCGGCCCGGACTCCATTTCAATTAATCCCATATGTTATGTTATTCACTTTACGCGTTTCTCACTTTCCGCGGTACCCTCCGGGTTACATTAACCGCGTAATATGAGGACCAACTGTATATATATATATATATATATATATATATATATATATATATATATATATATATATATATATATATATATATATATATATATATATATATGTATGTATATATATATATATATGTATGTATGTATGTATGTATATATGTATGTATGTATATATATGTATGTATATATATGTATGTATATATGTATGTATATATATGTATATATATATATATATATATATATATATATATATATATATATATATATATACAGTTGTACCCACACTTAACGCGGTCAATTGAACCCAGAGGGTCCCGTGTTAAGTGAAAACCGCGTTAAGTGAATAACAGAACATATGGGATTAATTCCAATAGAACCCAGCCCGACCCCCAAACTCCACTTTTTGACGACAAATAACTATGTTGTAGTAAAAATAACATCTTAATTTTATGATGGTACATGCACACAATTAATACTTAAGAGAAATAGAGAAATACAGTCGCCAAGTTAATGTCCATTCAAATAATGGACTCGACTCCCTCCCCCTCTTCTCACACTACACTCACTGGCTCTTCCCTCTGAGAAATTTTTGGGGGAAAACAAGGTATAGTAATAAATAATTCCTCAAACTAAAGTTAGGATAATATAATTGACATTGCTGGATTCCTTGTAAGACCAGGAATATTTTGAATATAAATGTCATATATTTTTCACAAAAGATAACATATTTACTCAGAATAAACTTTACATCTAAAATTTGTATGTCAAATGCAAAATCTATGATGTTTATATTCAAAATGATCAGCAAATTGTAAGAATTCCAGCAATGTAAATTATATTCTGGCCGGATAATTTGTATGAATTTTATGAGCTAAAACAAATATCTTCAGTTAATAAAAAAAAAAAAATATTCTTCGACACTATCTGTCAATCAAAGTACCCCACCTTGCCTTCCCCCCCTCTTCCAACCGCGTGGTCAGTCCCAACCCTCCCCCCACCCCCCACCAATCCTCCATTCAAGAGTTTTTAACATTTAGTATTAAATAATACCTCAGATTAAAGTTAGGATAATATAATTGACATTGCTGGATTCCTTGTAAGACCAGGAATATTTTGAATATAAATGTCATATATTTTGGACAAAAGATAACATAATTACCTAGAGAACAATTTTTATCTAAAAATTGTATGTTTAATGCAAAATATATGTTGTTTATATTCAAAATGATCACCAAATTATAAGAATTCCAGCAATGTAAATTATATTCTGACCGGGTAATTTGTATGAATTTTATGAGCTAAAACAAATATCTTCAGTTAATAAAAAAAAAAATAATTCTTCACTGGGTAACAGATGGTCGGTCGGTCGGTCCCTCCCTCCCCCCCACCCCCCACCAACCGTCCCAAGGAGATGTGTGGGATAACCACTAAATTTTAATAAATAATACCTCAAACTAAAGTTAGGATAATATAATTGACATTGCTGGATTCCTTGTAAGACCAGGAATATTTTGAATATAAATGTCATATATTTTGGACAAAAGATAACATAATTACCTAGAGAACAATTTTTATCTAAAAATTGTATGTTTAATGCAAAATATATGTTGTTTATATTCAAAATGATCACCAAATTATAAGAATTCCAGCAATGTAAATTATATTCTGGCTGGGTAATTTGTATGAATTTTATGAGCTAAAACAGGCAGTCAGGCAGGGTGGCGGGTGGGGGGTGGTGCGAATCTAAAAATAGCTCTCGAGCCGGACACTCACCGTTAAGTGAAAGTTCAGCTTTGGCAAGGCACGGCGTATATGCGAAAACGCGTTAAGTGAAAGCGCGTTAAGCGGGGTAATACTGTATATATATATATATATATATATATATATATATATATATATATATATATATATATATATATATATATATATATATATATATATATATATATATATATATATATATATACACAGCTCCTCCCCGACTTACGATCTACTCGACTTACTACCACCCGCACTTACGACCTGCGTCAGTCGTACCAAAATTTTGTCAAATTACGTATTTTCGAGTCCCAACGCCAGTGATTGCTCTGTGTACTGACAAAATTTTTGTTTGTAATTCACTTTAAAGTGGCTGGCAAGCTTAAAATGAGTGTTTTGTGGTGCTGAGAAGAAAAAGAGACACCCATTTTAGATTTTCTATGTATTATTTTCGCATTTTCGACTTACGACCATTTCGACTTACGACCTGGATTTGGGTCCCTAACTCCGTCGTAAGTCGGGGAGGAGCTACACACACACACACTGTACACTCGGCCCCATATGTGCCGAGTTATCAAGGGTTTACTGTATATGTTTCACTAGATGAGTTAAGGAACTTAATTGTTGATGTGGATATCATGGTTGGGAAAATATAGTATACAAAATATAAATGTGTATGTTCACAACTGCTGGTTGGCAGGGGATTACTGTATCTATGTTTTTCTCTGTATCATTATTTTTATAAACTTGTAAAAATACAGTAATGGCAATAAATTCATTTATATTTTCCTGTGTATAATCATTTCAGACTGGTATCATTGTGGACAGTGAAACCATCTTCACCTTAAAAGAATTGGAAACAACTAACATGATTGTTAAAGATGTGACAAAGTCATCATTATTACTCTGGGAGATAGCTGGGTGAGTTTTTGAGATTCTGTTTGTACATGAACTTCTTATCCCATTGATGGTTCTCTTATTGAAAGCTACATTCACAATGCACCTATACTTGGTGATCTGCTAGTGTGCATGTTTTCTGAAGTAACCTTTATCCTTCCAATTACAATAGTTCTTGTTTTTCATTGCAAGTAGGAATTGCACATTCTTTTGGCAAACATATAGTGTGTCCTTGAAGAAGTCTTTCTTGATATTAGTGGAACTATATATGATTGCATACATTACTGTAAATACAATGAAACTAAAAATTTTATAAAAACATATGTAAAGAAGATGAAGAGCCTGTTTCTGTTCATGGTTCATTTATACTTTACTGTTAAGGTTCAGTTAGCTTAAATTTTTATGATATTAGAATGCCTTTAATCCCTTCAGCAATGATCCTTTATGTACACTCGCAACAAAAAGTATCAGTGCATACTGTAGTGTGAACAATTTGAGACCAGTGACGATAGGTATTGGGAAAGGCGAGTTGTTCCAGCCGTATGTTGGCAGCCCTGTAATCCTGCTGAGCAGCTACTATGGCCTGGTGAAGTGAAACAAACCGTTATAAATAAGGTTGGGAAGTGATAAATAGACAGTATGAAATATGAGGAGTTCCCTGTTAACAAAATTATTTGTGATACCAAATAAACCACTCGACCTGGTCGTCCTGAGGGGTGGTGCAACGTGGACGGCCGCTCCGAGACCTGTCGTCTGTAGCGCCAGTTTCGAGGTATCGCCGAATCCATCATGCAGCGATGTTCCTGTGGACACCAACCCGCCGGCTAATATCTGTGACGCCAAACCCTTCGTTATGAAGGGAAATAATAGCTCCTCGTGTTCCCTCTGAGGTTTCCGTGTCGTCTGGCATGTGTAGGTCTCTACTGCTTCATATTGCCTCTGTTTTATACCCACGTTCACCGAGACTGAACCCTCGCCCATCATTCAGTCGACACAAAGCAACAATCCGAAAAGAGGAAACAAACACACTGATTGTCAGCCATATGGCAACACCTAGTGGGAGGGGGGGTTATGAGGATACACTTACCAACCTTCCCGACATATCACAGTGTATACGTATCGTTTCGGAAGTTGTCGATCTCACCCTGCACTGATACTTTTTGGTGCAAGTGTACATGGGCTAACATTTTTGCTATGTTTATACAATAAGAATTTTTGAATAGCATGCCAGAATTCAAATTCCTCTGTGAAACCAGAAAGAGGAACTTAGTGACATGACAGTGACTATTCACTGTGACTAGATATGGTAAGTTCTTTTTTACCCCTCCTTTTTTTATCACTTTTTATCACTATTACAGTGAAATACCAGTTTTATAGAGTAGGTTAGGACCGAGCATTCTTTAAACACTCTTGGGTTTGGGTTGGCACTCTTTCGTGAGATGCTCGGGGTCTGGGATTTGTTGCTTTAGCATTGTTAATAAATTATTTACAAACAGTTTTATATGCGTAATCACTATAATTATTTTTATACGTAAGCACGTATATGGAAATGTTTATACATCACTTCATTATTTCATGTGATTGCAAAGTGAACTTATTCCATTATAAAGCATACATACTGTATTCAGGACAAAATAGTTATAAAAATTATTTTTGACAAAAATTAATTTAACTGCCGAATGGTTCGACAGTTAGTTTACGTCACGTCCTAAGGGTTTGAGAAACCCGCAATATGGACTCACTCAACGTTTATTGATTGTTATGGTCAAAACCTGTAAAAGTGAGACACTCGTTAACTACTGATTACATTCCATTACATGTATACATTATACGTCAGTTAGTAAATACACTATTCTGTATGGTTATTATCCAAATTGCCTTACACTATGCACGTATGTAGTTCACAACATTTCACCATAATACAAATAATCACTGTGTTCTCTCTCTCTCTCTCTCTCTCTCTCTCTCTCTCTCTCTCTCTCTCTCTCGATAGGCCACATGGCATGTGAGTCAGGTCGCGGCTTACGAGAGCGGCAATAACAAATAATGTTTCGCAAGGTAATAGTGGTGTAAATTTTGCATTCTGTTGAGTGCGCCAAGTACCGATTATTAATTTTTCCCCCTGGACACAAAAGATAATTGTACATATTGAGTCATAGCACTAGGACTGCTGGTTGAAGGGCCAAACAAACTGTCACTTATCCTAGAAGAGCCTGGGACACTGGGAGCAGCATCAAGAGGCACCACACTATCATCACGTGGTGCAATCTCTTTGCACTTTTTAAGTTTTCCCACCCCTCCACCCTCACCAGCAACACAAGGCATGGTTCAAAACTCTCCCAACACTATTATGAATAAATTAAATCACTGTGATGCACGAGAAATCAGCACAAGCCGTAAGAAAATGCGTGGGAAATGTGGCTGAACATTATATCCTGGGTCCTTTAAACACAAATGGGAGACTGGTGTGGTGACCTTGGAGTGCAGTCTACATAGTTGCCAGGTCGCACTGATGTTGCCAAATGTGCGTCTTGTGTGTCTAGCATTCATACACAAACTTAAAATTATTTTATTATAAATTTTAACTTCATAGGCAAATTTGCATATGAAAACCTTTAAGTGATAATTGAGATCATCCAGCACATGTTTTGGTGATTTACTTACCCCTCTCAACTAATCTATAATCCTTTATTATAAACTGGCACTGTAATGCATGACAATAACCTAACTAGAACGTTGTACCATTAAACAAGTACCGTATATGGCGGCGTATAAGTTGACCCCCATTTTCAAGCAAAAAATTTGGTCATAGAGGTATACCTACAGTATAAGTCGACTCCCCAACTTCAGCAGCTGTCAAGTGTTGTGTGAAGGACCAAGTCAACCATCAAAACACATACATAAACAGGTAAACAGTCAAACAAGCCACTCTATAACATGACATCACACACGCCATTAGTGACTGCCCCAACAATCACAACAACACTGAACTCCTGTTGACAAGTTTCACCTGTATAATTAAAATAGTATTGTTTTTTGAAGATATTTTTATATTGTATGTCAATAAAGTGCAATTTTATCAGATTACATTGACTTCATTTTACCTACTGTATGGTTTCACACACTTGATCACACACACTCTTAAAACATCAATAACAGAAGGTGTTTAAATATAGCTACAGAGAAAAACTTTATTTCATCCATAATAGAAATAGAGCAATTATATTAAAGGTAAATATGAAGGTTGTAATACGAAATACTCTCACTTACGGTCATGATTTTAGAGGTCATCATTTTATACCCATAGCATAAGTCGACCCCCTAACTTTGGATACAAAAAATTTGGCTTCAAAGGTCAACTTATACGCTGCCATATACGGTATGTATCATCAGTCCTAAGTGACGTTTCCCTCTCTGGATGTTCCAACACTTACATTGTCACTGCTTAACTGTTTGCATTACACAATTCCCGACAACCCCCATGCAGTCCGTTTTTCTCCCCCAAAAATAGCTTTTGAAGACCACACCTGTCTTTTAAGCAATTTAGCCACCCAATAGTAAAGTTACAAGGTTCTTCGATACTCATTTGTAGATGAAATTGTTCGGCTTTCTTTTTGATCAATAGTCTTCACAGAAGTTTACCCTCACTGTGATTCTGCTCTAACCACTTGTACTGAATTTTGCCTCATTCTCGAAACTGACTGTTTTACATTTTTGCTCTTTTCAATTCCTTTATTTGATTCTGTTTCATTATAAATCTTGATAATCTTATCTTTATTTATCTTTAAATTGTAAATTTTGCTTGTTCCACCCCTCACCTGCCTCATCATGACATAACACAGTATTTCTACTTTCGTGTTTGCTGTCAGTGTAACTCATCTGTGTTTACTACATGTTGCTGGGAAATCCATTGATATTTTACAACACTGAGGTGCAAAACACAATAATCAAAGTAGAAGAGCAAAACAAGCTGGTCTATCTCAACACATGGGCTGAGTGTTGACTTTGGGGAGAGGAGGAAGGTGGTGGTTGGAAAGGACCAAAGATAACTTGTCTTCCTGAGTGCACCAAGCGTAGGTAGTGAACCATATCTATTCCCAAGAATTTCTATTTCTATTAAATCACATACACTGTACATAAAATTGTTATTTGATTTATTTATTTATTTATTTATTTATTTATTTATTTACCTGTGTTTACTTTTTAAGGTGATATCCACCAATTCATTCCTTGGGAAAAAATATGCATCACCTTTCCAAGGTCAAACAGGATTTCTTGTTATTGCTGGTGAGGTTAAATGATGCTTTTACCCTTTGACCTTACTAGATACTCCCAGGAGACTTTTTATTTAAAATTAATATTTTAGGCACAATAATTATCTTCCTAACTTCAAGTGGTACATTCTCAGCTAAAATTTTGGTTGATTGTTGTTGGTACAGAATCATGAACATAATAAATAGAATAAAAGTTAATTATCATTTGAGTAACAATAAAACATGTAAAGCAGTAAAGCATATTTAAAAGACTCACACAATATCTGTGTGGGTTCTACAGACCATGCAGTAATTGACCACAAATAGTTACTCTGTGGATTCAAGTACAGTACAGGTAGTATAACATTCATGCATGCCTATTTTGACTTACAACTGTGCTGCTTTTTTCAAATATACAAGGAAGGCATTGAGGATGTTAATGTGTGAAATGAAAGTAATTTTTCAGGCAAAACTTAACACTTTCTTTACAATTTCAGAGCGAGTGTGGGTTTTAGTGGACGTACGCTGCGGAAGATACCATTTTTAGCTCATGCTCTTTATGCTGAAACTCCCCTCATCTCATTATCTAACTTCCTTTCTGCTTTGCAAATGGCTATTAAAAAGCAGAAGCAAGACAGAGTTGATATAGGCTTGGTGAAAAATCATTAGATAACTGATTTTAAAAGAAATTTATATTTTTGTACATTTATAATACTGTACTGTAATATATTTTTGGCATGCATTAATAGGTTTATGAATGAAGTATGTTTAATTTATCCATTACACTTTGTGATATAATTGTAAGGATATATTGTATTTAGCAGTACAGGCATCTTCCGGGTTACGGAAGGGTTCCATTCCTGAAAATCTTTCCATATTATGAAACAATTTTTCCCTTTGACCCCCATACAGCAAAACCTCGATAAATAGGACTTCAACATATCGGATTTCACTTTTTCTGGACTCTAGAGGTGCCTAAGCTACGAAGTGAAATACCAGATCATTCAAGATTTGGAGAAAGGAACACGTCATGCTGATCTCGCACGCCAGCATGGCGTCAACGAATCTACGATTCGTACTATTAAGAAGGATGCAGCCAAGATTAAAAAACACATGAAAATCACAAAGTCTGCAGGTGCTTCAATGATCAAGTATTGCCAGAACAGGGTGCTGGTAAAGGTGGAAAATTTGCTGGTGAGTTATTTGATTCGTCAGGCGCGATGCAACATGGCGGTGGACACGCGCTCAGTGCAGGAGTACGCATGTGAACTGTACGCAGCAGTGTCACGTAAGCTGGGAATTGCAGAGCCCAAACCCTTCAATGCTTCCTCTGGTTGGCTGCATAGGTTTAAGAAGAGGAACAAGATCACCAACATCAACATTGGTGGTGAGGAAGCGAGTGCTGACCGTGTGGCGGCTAGAGATTTTCCTCCGTTCTTACGTGAGGTTATGGAGGAAGGACAGTACACTGACGACCAGGTGTTTAACATGGACGAATCTGGTCTTTTCTGGAAAAAGCTACCTTCCAAGACCTTCGTTGTCCAGTCTGCCAGCAAGGTAAGGGGTTGAAAGTTGCAGAAGGAACGCATCACCGTCCTCTTTACCACCAATGCCTCCGGTACCTGTAAACCAAAGTTATCGGTGATTCACACAGCCTGCAAGCCGCATGCCTACAAGAATATGGACATGAACAAGCTTAATGTCCACTGGCTAACCGCACGTAAGGCGTGGATGTTCTCTTCTCTGTCCCTCTCCTGATTTGACGACTGTTTTGTTCCCGACGTGAAGAAATTCTGCGAGCAACAGAATGTTCCATTCAACATTTTGTTGCTCCTTGACAACGCACCTGGACACTCGCCCCTACTTATGGATCGTCACCCCAACGTAAAAGTGGTCTTCCTTCCTCCCAACACTACGTCATTAATAAAGCCCATGGACCAGGAGTTGATCTGCAATGTGAAAGCTGCATACTCTGCAAAGAAGTTCAAGCTCCTGAACGACTCTACCAACACCAAGGATGAGTTGCGTAACCTGGGTGACACCGACAGCGAGAGTAAAAGCGATGAGGACAAGGAACAAGAGGTGGCGGCTCAAGAAGTTCTTGTCAAACAGTTTTGGAAGAAGTTTAACGTCAAACAAGCTGTAGACTTCTTGGTGGAGGCATGGGATCAGCTGTCTATTGCTACGATTCGTCACACATGGAGACATGTGTTGCATGGCATACCAGGTGAGAGGAGGATTCAACCTGTGACTGGTGAGGTTCAGACTGTTGCAGTAGCAGTGGACCTTGCCAGAGAAGTTGCGCACAATATTACAGCTGAAGACTTCTCCGAGACCACCAACGAAGACATCCTGGAGGTGATCAGAGATCCTGAAGTGACTGCCGACGAGATATTGGAAGATGATCACGTCAGTGAAGAGGAAGAAGGTGCGTCATTCTCCGAAGAACACAAGTTAAGTCATAGTGATATTAAGGGTGCCATGGAGTGTGCAGCAAAAATGAAGTCCTTCCTTTCCCGCGACAATGACGATGACCGCTATGAAGTCTTCCATACACGGCTGGTGCAGGCTATGGAGCCGTACATCACGGTGTATCAAGACAACATTAACACTAGCCATCAAAAAAGCATTACCGAGTTCTTCGCCCGCAACCCACCACAGCCAGCCAGAGCCAGTGATAGTGACAGTGAAAGTGACTTTGAGGGATTTGTCAGGGAAGCCCTGACAACAGTAAGTAACAGTGATGGTGATGCACCTAGTAATGGTGATTCACCTGAGGGCCAGTAATCTGCCCTCTGCTTCGGAACCAGCCTCCATCCCCGTATGCCGACCCATCTCTTCTACTAACGTAAGTGTTCAACATAACTTTTAGTTTTCCTAACCTAACCTCTTCTATATTACTTGTTTGTTCATACCATCATAAAGTTAAGATAAAATTTTTACTACAACATAGTTGTGTGTCGTCAAAAAGTGGAGTTTGGGGGTCAGGCCAGTCTCTACTGGAATTAATCCCATATGTTCTGTTGTTCACTTAATGCGGTACCCTGTGGGTTCAATTGACCGCGTTAAGTGGGGTACTACTGTGTGTATATATATATATATATATATATATATATATATATATATATATATATATATATATATATATATATATATATATATATATATATATATATATATATATATATATATATATATATATATATATATATATATATATATATATATATATATCTATATATATATAATTTATTTATTTATTTATTTAAAGTAATGGGGAAAATTAAAAAAAAAATATGAAAAGAGCAACACTTGTTCACTGAATAATGTACAGTGGTCTAATCAAATTTGCTGTAGGCCTATCGAGCAGGGTAGTGGGGCTGATCAGATGTTACCTCATTCGTCAGGTTTATTTATTGATTCAGTATTATATTCTCATATGATCGGCCTTCCTAACAACGTTATTTATTACCTTAGAGTGATACATGATGGCTCGGTGTGGCTACTTGTTACACTTAGACAAATGATTAATGAATAAACCAGGGTATATGCAAATGAATAATACTGTACACTACAGTATTACTTATTAAGTGATGATAAATGCACTACAATAGGATTTATTAAATGATGATCAATACTCTTCTGTACTACATTAATTTACTTGGTGGGATTCTTTTTTCAGGGAAGATGATTCTTTCAGGATAATACTTTATAAAGCCTGGTACCAAATGAACCTAAATGATATGAGAATTATGGTGAAATTGCATAAAGACGTATTAAAGGGATCTTTGCGGAGGGAGCCACCCCCTTCTGCCAGCTGCACACAGATATAAACTCGTCTTCCATATACAATATACTCCTACACTTACTTATTCTTATTTTTATCTCTATAATAATGTACAGTATATAGTTTTCTTCATTCATATTAGGCAAATTCTGTGGTTACTTACATATAACACTTTACAGTAAATAACAATCATCTCGGTGAAAACAGTTGTTGATAACCAAACTTGTATCTGATTTTCAACCCAGAGTGTAATGTTTCTTTCTTTTTTATGGTTGATGTAATAGTCTTTTAACCCCTACGCCCTGGTTGACGTTCTGGAACGCGCGCTTTTTCGCAGCATTGTTTGAATGCCCAGCACAGCTTATCAGGTTCCACGGTGACTATTTGCGTGTCACGCCACTCCTCACTCCATGCTTGGCCACAGAAAAGCTTCTGGAATATAAGTACAGGTACACCACCGATTATCCGGGAACTGATAGTGCAGAAATGGGTTAATGGAGAAATTATTAACCATGACAGAAAAAATCTAAACTACTGTAGTTAATTTTTTTTATTGTTAATTACAAAAACTGCAACTTGTTAGTGTACACTGTACAGGCAACTCCTGCAATACAGAATACCAGGTTATGGAAATGCATCCTTATGGAATTCTTAAATTACTGTATGATCCAAAAATTTGCGATACGAAAGCCACCCCCTCCACCGAATTTCGGTGAACTTTTCAAATTTAAAAATCTCAATATACAGTAAACCCTTGCTATTCCCAGGTGGTAATTTCCAAGGAATAATGCGAATTGGCAAAACTGCGAAAGCCCCACTTATACAGGTACTACCTTAGTGTACTACTGTACAATATACTGTACCCATACAGTGTATGAGTAAGTCACCAAAATAACTCTCCTTTGTATGTGGAAGTTTGGAGCTTGATGAAGTGCACTGTACAGTAGAATGAAATCTGGTTACTGAAGCATAAGGAGATAATCAGGATCACTGTTGGAAGAGGGTGGTTCTTTGAAAAACATCGTGACTGGTAGTTGGTTCCTCTTGGGTTTAAGGTCTCTAAATGTTTCACTCCACTGGCACTGGCACTAGGCAGTCTTTAGGGGCCATTTCACACAGAAACACTAAAGTTTTGAGTACAACACAAGAGATGCTGCATCACAGACAATGGTCGAGCGTGAGCATAGGGAGAGGAGGAACAGGAGTCGCTTCGGGCGCGTAGTGGTGACTCGTTGCGCTACGGGAGAGGCTCGTAAGCTAGCCACCATCTGCTTACAGCGAATTGTCGAAATCACAAATAGCAAGGGTTTACTATATAACAAAGATATTCATCAAAATTATAACATTTATTTTGTGTGGATTCTTAGTGGTAGCTACAAGATGGTAGGAGGGATGCTTACCTTTCCAGCAACCACCACAACAATAGAGTTGCTCAATTTGAATTCTTTCCCCAGTTTGTGTTCAGTTATGCATCTGTATTACTGTGTACCCTTATTTAAGAGGAGTGGAAAAGGATCATCAAGTTCAAGTGAAATCAGTGGTGATAAAAGATTTCATAAAGGAATTACGTTGGACATTAAACTTGATGTTTTAAGGAGGTAACTCGCAGTAACTCAATGCACCACCTCCAGCAGCACTCAACATCATTTCTAGTGTGTGCATTTATTGTCATGGTACATCATGAATGAATCATTGTATATGTACTTTCATTCATATACAGTAGAACCTTGATAAATCGAACTAATTGGGGCAGACCCCAGTCCGAAAAATGTGAAAGCGAGAAAAGCAAATTTATGGGGGGGGGGAGATGGAGATAACACTGCTTATCTGATCTGTTAAAAGAATATAAGTTGTTATGTTATTACTGTACTTCAACAACTAAGGTCTTTAAGTGTATAACAAGGTTATTGACCCCTACACTCTAATGTACAGTTTTCTATTATATTTTATTCATTTGTGTTATGATGATTATCAA